CCGCCGGCCTCCTCGTACCGGTCCTCGTGTTCGGTGTCGTCACTGCTGATCGTAATCGAGCTGCCGATGCTGCTAACGCTGCAGCTACGCCTGGCGCACGCCCGTTTGGACACGGAGGACGTGTCCATCAAGATGTTTTCTAAGCTGATGTCTCGATGGCAGACACCTGCCGAATATAATTTTCACGTGTTTGTTGTTCATGAATCCGCGCAATTCGACAAAAGGGAGGGAGCAGCAGCAAGCGTGTGCGGGATGCGGGAGCAGGGGGGGGGCACCTTAAGGTTTGCAACGCTATTAATCTGAGTGTCTCACACGTTGAAACAACATCTCCACTGGAAAGGAGATATTTGTCAACGGATGAGCACATGACTGCATGGACGGTCGTACCCATGACCGTGTTCTGTTCGCTCCTCCTGTCTTCACAACAAAAAAATCGTTCCGAGAGCTGTTCTTGCAAACATGCATATTTGTAAGGACTGTCTTTCCGTTTGGATTGCATAGTTTGCTAAACTACTTGCCCGTCGGGCCCTGCAACATGGCATAAAGCACGAACAGGAGGATGTTGAAGCAAACAACTACAACGTGAGGGAGACAGGAAATGTAGAGCTACATCCTCCTCCCGCCCCGGACCCCGTTCATTACCGCCGTGCAGAGGCCACAAAACAAAATACAAATACATGAGGAATACGTCTGCAACGACCCCCCCCAAAAAGACTCAACAAAGTCGAGGGCGAATGTTGAATAATGCTACCGGAGGCCTAACGGAAAAACAACGGCCCCGGACGAACAGACCAATGACACTACCAAATACGATTACATACATCATTGAGCACGACATCATGTCGTCGTATCATGCACGCACCCTTGCTGTGGACGAAGCTGACAGCATCCAAGATCTGAGAAAATATCGGCTTGGCGACGTCCTCCGACATGGGCGCCAGGTCGAATAGCTCCCCCCCGGAGTACCACGGGGATATCTTGTACAGAGTCGTGTCGTCGGCCAGGGCCTCGATCAGCTCTTCCACGCCGTCGTGACCACCGCCTGCCGCGCCCGCCGCCGACGCCGCCAACTCGTCGCCACCTTGAAGCAGCTGCAATGACGCGATCTCTTTTACTGGATCCTGTTGATGTTGGGGGGCGCACCACGACAGGGACCACGGGCAGGGGGCAGCAGACGGCAGCAGCTGTAGCGACATGTTGTACTACAGCGATACAAGATTAACATGCGTACCATGTTAGTTTATTCGGCTCTGCGGCGCAGACGTAAAGGTTACTTGCTCGCTCATACACGTGTAGGTTCTGGGTTTTGCTCTTGTGCGGCAGGCCGGCCCTCCAGCAGCGGCAAAACCGTGTGTGTGTTTTTTTTTGTTCCTTTTACCCTCTGCGAACCGGCCCGGTGTTGCACGGCATGGCGCGCACTATCATACGTGTGTGCTTGCATCTCGCTCTGTTCCCCTCTCGACGTTGGTAGGGAGGCCCTTGCGCCAGTCATGGTGTTGACCGAAAAAAACCAGCGAGGGGACAGACAAACTCAAATATTTCCTCTGCTCTTCTTGCTCGAGTTCATGCAAGATCCGAATTTGAAGCCGGGGGTACATAGGGCATGTGTGGACCACGGCGCAAGGGATGACGCGTCTCTTTTTCGAGAAATAGCAAAAAACACTTGCTTGCCTCGACCGCGCCAGAAAAGAGCACTCTCTATCTCTCTCTCCGTCTCTGGTCGAGGAATGCGCAGTCTCACGCGGAGCGGTTCTGACTGGAGAGAGATATCTGCACGAAGGGGTTTACCGACCAAAAACAACAAACCAAACGAGACACCGCCGATGTAGCCCCGCCGGTTCGGTCGGTCGTTCGCCGGATTCTTCCCGGGTGTGTTGCTATATGCCAGTGAAAAAAAATATCCATCATGACGTGTTGACGTGTGTGTGTGCCTGTGCCAGCGCTCGACTCACCTCCCCAACTAGCTCGCCCATTGCGCAACGCTGCCACTGCGCCTCGAGCTTGAGCACCGAGATACGGTTGGTCTTGAGCGCCAGCGGACAGGAGGGGCAGTAGCGAAGCAGCTTCCCCCCGAAAATGATCACCGATCTCTCATCCTGATCCTCCTCTTTAGGGTCGAACGGTGTTGCCTCGTACACAGTTTGGACCGCGCCGCCGAACTGGGTTTGGATAAAGCGCGAGTCCTTGGCGGGGCAGAAAAACTGCCGTGCGCTGGTCTGGGAGACCAGGAGGCTGCCTACGCCCGGCTCGTTGGACACCACCGCTCTCGAGTAGACCGGCTTGGGAAAGACGGGTGACGCCTGCGGAGCCATGTCTCGCATGGTGCGGTTGTTTATTTTTTCTGCTACTGCTGCTGCAGCTGGGTGGCAGGATCAAGTATTTTGCGCGAACTCTGGCGTGCACCTTGCGGATGAATGGGCGTTTCCCTTGATCAGGCAGTCGGCGCGCAGTAGTTCGACTCTTGCACCGCCAGTTCAGGGGTCTTCCTGGGAAGACGCGTCGATTTTTTCTTGTCTGTGCTGCGAGAGGTGTGTGTGTGAATGTGTGTCTGGTGTGCTGGGCTATGATTGAGCTCGCAGGAAAAAATTCAGTAGGGGGGCCGCAGATCCGAATTTCTGGACGCGAAATGGGTAGGCACACCCCCCACCCAGCTGGGAGTACCGTTGCGCCTTTGCTTTTTTGTTATTATGCATATGGGACAGGCCGATGTTCGTCAACAACACGAACTGCTGACTGCCGCTGGCACCGCTCGTTGATTGTTGGTGGCACAGCCAAGCTTGTTGCTCACGAAGGTGTTGTCTGTTAGAGCCAGGTACCCGTGGTTACAAGCACACGGAGTGTATAGGTTTGCGGGCTGCACACCATGTTGAGGTTGCGGTCTGCGGCCATCGTCTTCACCACGCTCTGCGCTTTGAGCGGGATCGCCACGGGCAGTCCCGCTCTTGCGTCCCAGCAGCAGTGGACAGATACGCGGTTGCATGGAGTGCCAGTGCTTCCGCTTGTACAGGGAGCACGTGGTGGAGCGGGTCAAGACAGTGTCCCCAAAGAGGTATGACTTATAGCACTGACCGACGGGTTGTTTCGGCCCAACAATTTGTACCGCCGTATGTAGGTCGCATATGATACCACACTCCCTTGAACCCAATTTCAAAGCTCGATTGATTGCTGCACAGGACGCAAAGGGGAACATGGGAAAAGGTTATATAGGAAAAATGAAAATTGCCAATCAACATGATGTTTTTTCGAAATGCTCTTGACGAGACTGCTGTGTTTCAACGCGGCCATTTGTCCGGCGCCATCACTGCTGTTGTTGGTATGCATATTATTTGGTTGAACCGTCATTGCGGTGCGGATGAATTGCTTCACCTGCTCACCGGCATGCAACAGCAGCAAGTCCTTCCTGGATGTAGTAACGTTACCAGTAGGCAGACACGGTTCTGTTGAACTAAAGTAGCGGACGGTGGTAGCAATTTCCGTTGATTGCGAGTTCCCCCCTTGATTTTTTTTTTTTCTTAATAAATTATGACACAACGAAACCATCTTCATCATAGAAAAGAGTCTGAGACAGATTAGCAATGGATTCATAGCGTCAGAAAGTACCTGTATGTCTACGATTTCCCAGACAGCATATAGGGACATCTCCCCTGCGGGTAACAGGCTCAACAAGACAGTTTGGTAGCTGTCTTGTGTGTCTCATATATGTTATGTTGGGAAGGTGCAGAGGATATGTGTTAGGTACTGGTCGGGCGTTTTGTGTGTTTTTTCTTCGTTTGCTGCTGCTGCCTCCGAGTACACCTGACATCGCCATCACCGTCGACATGTCTCGTTGAGTAGTCTACACGTCGTCCTGTTCGAGAGGGATGCAAAATATTTAACAGAACGACTTGCCCCGGGTGCAAGACGGGAATCAACCTTTGCAACCTTTTCAAGCCCCCTACGGCGGTGTATTCTAACTCAATTCTGATCGCACGTGGGAATGAGGACCAGCCTGGCCCAGAGGAAACGAGGATACTACCATGTCAGGCTCCGCTTGCCTTTCTGATGTACGCCAAAAAAATATAGGGCTAAAAATCGACATCACACTTCTGTTGCCTACAAGTACATGGGAGGGGCACGTGGGAAAAGGTGCGACTAACTGTAGCCACGCGCACTATCAAGGCTTGGTACTGCCCCCCCCACCCCTACCCCCCGAAACCAACAACGTATTTCGCGAACAGACCGTTGTTGTGTTTCTTTGCCATCGGCAGCGGAGTGCCTTTTTTTGGAACCGACGTTTTCATGTGAAGACACAACAACGACGTAGCGTAGGTCGCCCGCCAAGCAGTTCGACCTGTGATTGAGCGATTGTCATCTTCCGGGTCTGCTTGCGGGTATCGATGGCACTGCTTGCTGTGCGTACCCGTCGCACTACTCCCAGAACTCTACAACAAGCAGCAGTCAGGGTGTGCCCGTTCTTCGTTGTTGTGTGTCCCTTGAAGCGAGAGAGAGCTATACGGCGCGTTACGACAACGTCACTGCTGTCCCAAGCACTGATCAATCGGAAGCAAGCAGCAGAGACATCCAGACTGACAGCGCGCCGCCGTCGCGTTGCCTCGTCGTTCGATCGCGGCAGCTAGGGGCAGGGCTACGCCCTCGAGAGTCGTACCATATTTCCCGCAAGACTTTCCACTTCTCGACCATCATGGCGTTCGCCGTCGTCTACAGCGCCAAGCTCCCGCAGAGGGACTTCGCGAGAGGCATGGCGGCTCTAGATGCGTGCGTGCTCGCGGGCGAACTGGCCAGGCTGCGAGTGGACGTGGTCAACAGAGTCTTGTTTCGGTGAGGGTGCGGTGCGAGGCTTGGCAACTAACATACAGCTGCAAGCTTTTGTATCCCCTGAGAGCTTGTTTTTTGCGGCAAGTACTGAACAGGGATGCCTTTACTTTGGTGTCGCCCATTGATGGAATCGCCACTGCTGTGCTGCGCATGTGGGGGTATGCCTTGGCGGACCGATTCCGCAGCAAGCACCTGCATACGGTGCGAGTGCTGAGAATGCATGCGCTCTGCCACCCCAATTCCTCGCTATCCGCCCTGCATCGCAGGGTGTTCGGTGCTTTCATGCGGGCGCATGAGCTCAAGAAGTTCAGCGGAATCATGTGAGCGATGATCGAGCCATTTTAAGTTGGGATGGGGTCCTTTTTGGGGTGGGTACGTTGATTGGAGGGCCGTGAACTCGACGAGCACAAGGGTCCCAAACACTATGTTCCAGTTTAAGACCGGACGGCGTTGCCTATTTGGGTGTTTCCCTGTGCGATTATTGAATTGTTGGATTTCACGTGTACTGCACGCTGTACCTGCAGTGTCATGGCAGGTGAGCATGGCAAACAACGTTGCGCGTGTGTGATCACCTGTGCCTTCCGGAGAATTTGTTCTTCGTCTTCAATATGCGCTTGCCGGTTGCTGAGGATGCCAACAAGCCCAACCACCATTGTTCCGCCGCACAATCGGAATGCTATAGGTAGAAACGGCGGAGCCCCCACCCCCACCTAGCAAGAGGGCACGTGACGCGGATTGAAACACTGGAAACACCTCCCCCGCGCCATTTTTTAGGGAGCTTAATCCGGTTTGTTCAAGGCACTCAATTGTATAGAACTTCGTATGGTTATAGTAAAGTCGGTATGTTCCATATTTTGTATCCTTTGGTGTAAAAGCATCTTAACCCATGCCATTTACTTAGAGGTACTGTATGTGCACCGTACATCCTATACAATACAGCATCATACATAGTTTTTACTATACCATGCTACATCCTATCACCCCCACCTGTTCTCTCGATTTGGTCCTTAATCTGCGTGCCCTCTTACACCTCGACAGATGCCCCCATCTACAAAACGTACACGTTGCGAACCGTTGTTGCCTGTGGCATTCGACTGAATAGTCGAGAGTCCACATCGTCCTTTTCGGTTGCAGCGCATTGCTGGCACGCACAGGTAGAGGGCTGTAGCAGCTTCCAACAAGGGTTTCGTGACAAGACGTCTTGATCCCGCCGCCTCGAAACCTTTCTCCGCCTTGCCTGTAACGCGCACGGCATCCTCAGGTACTGCCTTGCAGGTCTCGGGATAACGTCGGCGATGTTCCCGAAGCACATTGCCCTGCTGGGAATGCTCCAACTCGCCCTCGGCGACCCCGTGGCCGCGCTCTGCGGACACGCCACTCGGTCCGTCGGTTGGTCTCGAGTGGGGACCGGCAAGGGCCTCCTAGGGGCTCTCGGCTGCGCGACGGCGCTAACGCTAGCCAATTCCTTCGTGCTGGCCAAGGCGAGGTTCGAGTCGGGGGCGCCGACGCTCCGCCGAATCGTGCTGGCCGGTGGGATGATCGCGGCGTGGGCGGCGGCGGTGGAGGTGAGCGTCCCGAGCCCCCAGAAGACGCTCCCCTGTGAAGGCTTCCCGCTGGCGTTCGATGACAACGCGGCGCTGCCGGTGCTGGGCGCGATGGGCGCGGCGGTAGTGTTTCGTGTGCTCGGGCTGGGGAGCTGCGAGCTGCGACCGTGGCTGTTTGGTTGAGTAAAGGGTTAGTTTCTAGCATTTTTTTCTGTTCTTGAGGTATATTTTACGTGGTGTTCGTGGATGAGCCTTGAAGGAGGAGCAGGTTGTCTTGTAGAATCTGTGCGGGCGCGTTGTGGGTAGGTACGATAGTAAAGTTTAGGTAAGTAAGGGTGGAAATTTAATTGTTTTAAACTTCACCGTCTGGTGACGCCGTCCGAAACGGAGCGAATGAAGGAGGGTTAACGTTCGAGTACTGTAAGTCTGGACAGCATTCCCCCACCTGCACGTACATGTGGATGTTTTTCGTGTTTGACCTGCTCAAGGAAGGATGATCGTCTAGGCCTTGTAAAGCCATGCTTTTCACCGCAGCGGCTAGATCGTTTCGCACCGACTCGCTTTTTTACTATCGCACGCATGTCGAAGGGCGACACAGGTTTCGATCTGGCCGCGATGGCAAAAGGATAACATTGGAGGTGATGCAGATAGGCATGCCCCGTAGCCCTAGCTTCTGCATGAGGACGTAGCTCGTCATTGTGAAGGGTTTGGCGATCGTGCCGGCTAAAGCTCCTCGTGATTCGCTAGTACACCTTCGAATCAGGCGCACGTGGGATCCCAGACAGTAATCGTTGCAGGTATTCCACAATGTTTTTGACAGCACGTGCGTAGGAGCAACACACGCGCGCTTGTAGCAAACGTGCTCTGAGAAAACACGAAACACCGGAGGTTTCTCTGTCTAGTACTTTCAATTTTTGATCCCCTACAACCTACATCCTCCTTACCAACACAGCATTTTACAACGGAACGGGCCCTACGCATCAAGACTTCGACGTACACCATACACGTATACACGTGGTGTCAGCGTGTTCATCGGTGCGGCGGCTGTGCAATCGCCAATCGCGCCACCATACATACTACACTCAAGCCGACCGAGCTAGCGTTGCGGACATGGATGCCGACCGAAGCTGTATGCATCTCGTGTAAAGAGCCACCAGGCGCGCGGCTGGTGTGCCACAACAAAGCCCACGTAGCTTACGTATTATGTCTACTGAAACACCCGTAAAATTGACACGCTCCTGTCCGATCGTGCGGCATCCCCGCCTTAGTCTATGTCGGCCAACAGCCCGCAAGATGATCGACCTCTCGTCTCGATTCCTCCTCGGGGCAGCTGCCACATAAGAACTGCCCTCGGAACACATCAACCAAGGTCAAGCTATGCACATTAGTCACGAAACGAAATTTCCGGCAAAATGAGCGACGACATCGATCCATTGCATTCTCCACAGAGCGCGAATGAGGCCACGTTTCATTTTCCCTCGCCATTTGGCAGGAGAACGGGGCGCTTTGGCACGTGAGCAGCCGTTGCTGCAGCATCACCTATCGAGCGACCTCCGGCTGCAGGGCCTGCCGAGACCGAAGCGAACGAAACGCAACGCCGCGCTACAGCTCAGAAAGCCATGCCTCGCCTCACACCACCGGCGACAGCGGTACGTCACGCTGTTGTCGCCGCTGGTGCTGCTGCGATCCCGTCCGCTTTCCCGCAGCTAACCTGTTCCGCCACCGCCGCCACTTGCGTAGCACTTGCTGGTGCTGATCCGCTGTTGGGCAAAACGATCGGCTGGATGTTCTCGTTTGGGTCGCTCGCCGCCGACAGCACTCTTGTCGACAACCCTCCCGCCACTGGCGTGGCCGTCGCCACTGCCGCCGCCGCCGCCGCCCCCCTCATTGCCGCCGTCCCGGCCCTCGCCTCGTCCCCTGCAACGTCTTCCATCTCCTCGGCGCCGCTGCTATCCGCGTCCATATCGGCATCAGCATCGGCCTCGTCGGCCATCGCGTCCCCTGAACCGTCGGAATCGACGCTCTCGTCATCGTCCCCGTCCGATCCCATGCTCTCGGAGCCCTGTAGCACCAAAAGAAAGAATAATCAACGGGGGGGAGGGGGGGGGGGGGCGATATCAACTTGGCGTTTGACTAACTTTTTTTCCCTTTTGGGGAAGGGGGGAAGGGGACCCCCCAATACCCTTTCTAACTGCTT